GAAAGCAAGCTGTAATCAACCACTTAGCTGTTACTAAATTACACTTATCTCCACTTCGCCTGTTTAACTTCCCATAAGCATGCTAAGCACCTCTTTAGAATGCATTGACCTCTAATTATTTCTTGCTTTATGTATCCCTTAGCCCACATTGAAGAAATAAAAAATATTCCTATTGGTATACAGTGCAGAATAAGACAACCTGGTTTTGTTTTATTATTTTGTATACAGAAGGAAATTTTAACACCATTGGGTCCTCCAAAATCACAGTGCCATGCATAGTGATTGAATTTCATGCTTTATCATGTGAAGTAACACTGATGAAACTGTTTTTAAGTAATGTGCTAAATTCACTATTGCGGGAGGGTGTAAAATTGCATCATTCAGGCTTTTGACTGATTACCAAGCTGCAGAAATAGTAGCTATGCCATAAGCTGCAGTCTGAGGTCTTCCTGAGGTGACAAGATGCACTGGATTTGTGGGATTTGTGCAGTGGAACCTGTACATGAATACATCTATGTTAATAATGTTCATGTTTTTCTGAAGTCAAGGCATGACTGGTAGAAAAGCTGGCTTTATGCTTGAGTGAGAGCATTTCACTTGCTTTTCACTGGAGGAATTTTTAGCCTGGCAGCAATAGCATTATAATAACTGCCAGCTGCTCACTTGGCACAAGAGTGCCTAGAACCAAGAGGAAGAGCCTGGTGCATTATATGTGTAATTCACTTTTCTCTAAAACTTGAAGGTTTAGGCCTCATAAATATTTTGATCTGGTCTTTGATGGCCTTTGTACACATCAGTCTGGGAATATGCATGTGGAACATAGCTTGCTGATTTTAGTTTGGAGTACATTGAAGTAATTCCCACCAGGATAAGAAGAGAAATTATTCTGGGAGCTTCATCTGTGAGTGGGAGGTCAAGAAAGGAGGAAAACTTTTAACGTTAAGCAGATGGACCTCCCTCACTTTATATTGGGGATGCAAGATAATCATCTTCCCAAATATTGTATAGTATCGTCCTGATTTTCAGATCAAAAGAATAAGGTTCAAGACATTATTTGTGAGGTAGAAACCTGGGAATGGAAAGGAGACTTTTTTTTTTATATCCTCAACTTTGTGCTTGCCCACCACTGTCAGGGCAATAATACAGCAGAAATCAGGTCTGGAAGGGAACACAGGAGCAATCGTTGTACCTTTCTCCACCTGTAAACTCACACAGCTGCAAATCACACAACACTTCTTGACTCACAGTGCCACTTTATTCTTTGGTATTTAAAACTGGCTTCAGAAACTAAACAGTGTACCAAAGGAGAAACCAGGGAAGACTACGACGGGCTTTTTTAACATCTTTATTTCTAAATCCTTGAGACATATCTGGGAACAGACCATACAGGGGTAGGAAGTAGGTAGGAAGACATGGTGGTCTCTGCTGGTCTGATTTTGGGAGAGAAGTTTTGCTCTGATCTAGTAGTCAGTTCGACCACAAGTATCTGAGCAACAAACACTGAGGCACCTAAGAAAGTTAATGCGAGTAGGTGCTATCCTGCATCCCTAGAGATGCAAGGAACTTGCATCTCTACATTTCTTATAGTGGACAGTCTTCAGTGAAATTAGAGGAAACTGCTTCACAGTTCTTTATTAAAAAATAGTAATGCCTTCTTTCTGGGCATTTCTCTGTGTTAAATATATTCTTTGTAGAAGAAGCTGTCTTATTCAAAGTCCCATGCAGTAGTCAACTAATGAGTCTCTGATCTCAGCTGCTCGTGTAATGTAAACAAATGCTGCTTTACAATAACAAAGCACTGCTTTAGTGATGCTTTTTTTAGGAGATTTGTGCCAAGCCTGATCTATTTCAAATGAATGGAGAAGCAACATTTTGATTGAAAGCAACTGCAAACCCCAACCAAACTCTCAAGCTTTCAGTTGGGAATTCCCACATCTAAGGATTGCAGTTCACTTTAAATCCCGTTTCAGATGTGGACTAAAGAGTAAAGCAATGAAAAAAAAATGTAAGAAAAGTAGAAAGGTAACACAGTTCAGGAGTCTTCCATGTTGACTCTAGGCAGTACCTGGAGGGAAGACGTCAATCTCTCTTCTTTCTTGCCCTCGTTTTTGTTGTTGCAGTATGGGGGTAAGAGTATGTGTGTGTTTGTGCCTTCTTCCTGCCATGTATGCACAACACCTGCAGTTAATGAGAATCTGAGAGGAGGTGGTTCTTTCTCTTTCCTTTATACTTTCCATACTACTTCTTCTCCCTCCCCTTCCTTCTGGATGTACAGGGGAATGAAAGAAGGAATTTAGCCAGATTTATGCTTTTTCTTCATGTACTACTTTATGTGTCTTGGGATATTATAACCAGGTCCCTCTCTCCTATCCATCCACTTCAAGTTCCATTGCATTTTGTGGTTCCCAGGCTTCTCTGACACAAGGATAATATGCATGTGATGTGTTTCTGCTTCAGCTACTTACAGACTGGGAGAGGCAGTGGGGCTGACCAGCTGCTGCTTGTTTTGTGGAGTCACTGCCTCAGAGGCTCTGAGGAACAGAAAAAGAAACTGGCTTCTGTACAGGTTGAGGGCAGGAGGAGGACTTCTTTCTGCAGTGTCACCAGAGCAGTGGAAGACTGCATTTTTTTCACGCAGGTTCTTTTCTTCATGAGCTTTCAGTGTCCTGTGCAAAATAAATGTAGTTTCAGAAAATTCAATCATCAAATTTATCCCGACTTGTCTCAGCAGAAGCAGCAAAACTGAGCATGGGGTGGAATTTTGACTTCTAGCTCTCTGCAGTAGTTAGTTCAGCTGAGCTTCTACCTATAGGAAGAAAAACATTAAGTAGTCCCCGAAGTATTAGCTTGTTCGGGACTATCTGCCCCATTTGATTTTGCTGTTCATTAAATGATCACTTGCCAAGCTTTCTCATCAAAACCCAAACTGATACTAGCAATAATGTATAAAATTACATCCAAATAGTTGTTGAAGTTCTTAAACTAAAAAAAATTGAGTGAACTGGTTTTGTTTGTTTAATTAGGCTTTATGTCCACCACATCCGTGGGGATGCACTGTTCTAAAATGAGCCGACTGGATGAGGTAAAGCTGTAAGTGTTGCACACTGATGCCTCCCAATGACCAATATAAAGCAGCACACTATGTATATTTGTAAAACTTCACCTCCCCCACTCATAATATCATCATTAGATCATCTTTTAAAGTAACTATTAAACTTACTACATACCAGCCAGCAAGTGTCTTTGTGTTAAACTCTCATTTAAGGTTGTGCAGTGATTGCATATTATCAAGTGAGGGGGGGACATCTGCAGCATTTTAAAATGCATGTACATGGAGCCAATAACTCTTGTATTTTTAACACATTAGTAAGAATTCCATAGAAGCTGAAATAATAGATAGTGTGCTCCTAATCTTTAAAAATAATATTAATTAAAAAAAAATCAATGGAAATATCAGTGTATATAAAATTCTATCTACTATCTTATGGTATCCAACAAAACATTTTGTTGTCTAAAAAGCCAATTTATTATTTAAGGAATGCATTCTCATTTTGAGTATTTTCATACTTTAAAAAAATAACATTCTCTGCAAGTTCTTTCTCTTTTTCTTGTATTTCTCCTCTCACAACTGTATTTAAATAAGACCACCATAAACCAACTCATTTGTGGACACTGATAAAAAAAAATAATTCTTTTTTAAGAGATAACCTAAAAATCCTGGAAGTTGGCATCACCTTCCAGAGACAGTGTTCTTGGTTCAAGGTCAGACAATTGATCTTTAACCCACCCCTGTATAGCTTAAAGTGGTTTTTTGGTTTGTTTTTTTTTTTTTTTTAGCACAAAGGTTATCTGCTGATATCAATCCTTTTTTGTATGTTTATATTGGTAGAACTTAATGAGATTACATATATTTTGATGAATAATTGCCTCCGTGTAAACTTGCCACCTACCTACAGTGACTCTTATGAATATTTGATGATAATAAGTAGTAGGAACTTCTCTGTGATGCTCACATACTTAAAAAACCAGCAGCACAGGAATAAATTTTGGTCTGCTCTTTTGCTTGCAGTAAGCAGTATGACATTTATATACATGTTAATTATTAGGCATATCTAAGATATTCTGTTCTTAATACTAGGAGTTCCATTTAAATTATAGTTCTGTTGTTTTAGGAGGGGAAGAATGCAGGACAGAAGATGGAATTTTTAACATTAGATCTCTATTTTAAGAGATCTCTATTTTAAGGGTTGGCTTGTCGGTCTCGTGATTCTAGCTATGAATTAGCAGTTGAAAAAAATAAAAAAATGCAGTGGAACATACCATTTTGCAGATGCAGCTGTGTTCTACAAAATCTAAAATTAGTATCTGTAGGTCAACAATTTTGTAGACTTCTGTGCAATGTCTTTGGTCTATCCAGTTGTGCATTATAGATCCTATAGGTGGTAGTTTTGTGTCATATTGCAAATTAGGCAATGTCTGTCAACAGCAGGCATCACCTTTTATCATCTCTTCATCTGGTTTCTTTTTTTTGTAGACAGTGTAATAGAGAGTCCTCACCTTGTGTGTTTTTTTCAAGATGTTTTTGTGTGAAGCTGGTATTGAAAACCACATTCTTGATTTTATTGTGTTGAATTGTGATACTTGGGTTAGTTTGCACGTTTGAAAACCTACATTATCCAACTTCACAGCCCATGTTCAAAACACAAACTAATGTTTTCTAAGTTGCCATAGCTTATTTAATTACATGTTTTTCCTTCTGAGACTTGCAGGGCCTACTACACAGCTATATTTTTCCTTACTAAAGTGATGAGGACAGCAACAACAGCTCTGACATTTATAGTTAGAGGTTTTTGTACTTAAAATATTCTGGCACAGTAGTTACTAGGATTGTTTTTTCCAGTAGCTCCTGCATATTGAGAGTGTAAAATCCATAAGTTTATTAATGCTACTATAGTATTTGCTTGAAAAGCAGTGCTTTACAGAACTTATTTTTCTTTCAGGCAATCAGTTTCCTCCTATTGCAGCTCAAGATCTTCAGTTTGTTTTAAAGGCTGGATACCTGGAAAAACGCAGGAAAGGTATGTCTAACTATCTTTGTGAAAACTAGTGCATATTTTATATCGGAAAGTCTATGTGTCAGTATTGGATGCTATACACACAAATATCTTTATACAGGAGTGATAAAGTGGAACAGAAGCCAAAATGTTGAAGCATTATTATGCAAAAGAAGCATAGCTCATAATTGCTCCTGTAGTATTAAAAGAAAACCCTATTTCTTTATTGACTAAACAAGAATAATCATGCTGTGAACGTCCACTGTCAGCCATAAGTCAGAGACTTTCAGATATTTTTGAAGAAAACATTAGGAACATATGTAAAAGTACCATATGTTGACTTCATGTTTCAGTGAGCATCAAGATTTATTTTCCTTCAAGAGGGCAAATATTGATCTCAGCTTTGGTTCAGTCAATATTTACCTTGATTCAATAGATCTTATATTGTCACTTTAATACCCACTTAATGCTGCAGTAACTCTAGGAAATATTTAGGAAGTTGTTCATTATTTCCTTATATTTAATGTTACACATGACTTCTCTCTTTATATGATTTCAAATTCCCATTTGTTTTCTTACCACCAATTTTTATTCCTAATTTTCCTTCTCAGTGTCATACAGTGCTTCATATCCAGATTTGGTTTCCTTTCCTTAGCACTTTTCCTGTCTCCTTCACCCTGTTTCCTCACCTTTGAAAATAAGTAACGTATTTGTGTTCAATATTACCATAAAGTGATATAACACAAATTATGTTAATTGCAGACCACAGTTTTCTCGGCTTTGAATGGCAAAAGCGTTGGTGTGCTATCAGTAAGACGGTCTTCTATTATTATGGAAGTGAAAAAGGTAATTATAATAATTATGATAAACTATAAACGTGATTTTTTAATGCATAGAATAGTATGAAAGCTTTAGTGGAGTTGAAAACTGTGAATCTAAGGTCATTTTAAGAAAGGAAACAAAAATTTTAGAAGAATAGTTGGTTCTTAAACAGTGGTGTGAATTTTAAAAATAAAATTGTAAATATTCTTCAGAATCTATGACATGTTCATTTTCTAAAGCAAGGAAACTGAGGAAAAAAATTGTTACCTGTAAATCTACTTTGCGTGCCAATAGCAGCTAGCTATTAGGTTTAATAGTACACTGGTACTCAATTAATTTACTGGACAGAAAACGTTCTTCTGTCCAAATAGGATTTTAATTTTAAAACACCCTCTAGCAATTATACCTTCAGAGTTCTTTAAAGATACTTCTATCCAGGAAAATGTCAGTCTAAAAACTATATAGTGGAGTTTCATGTTTCTTTCTAAATAGCTTTTATTCTGAAAAAGCTAGAAATGAAGTAATATATTTCACTAAAAGCCAGCTGTGGAGACTAAGGAGACTAAGGGTAGCTTCTGAAGATGACTTTTAATGGCCAGTTTAGAAAGAATCTGGCCTAAGTGTTGGGATATCACTTTGAGTTTTAAAAATTGACAGTCAAATTAAACATGCTTTAAATTGTGTGCCAAGTGTATTTGATATTTAAGAGTAAAGCAAATGATACAGGAATCTATCTGAGTAAATTTTAAAAGTGCAATTATGTCTTTTCTTCCGCAAAGAATACTTATTCCTGGGCAAACTTTCCATTGTAGCTTTTTCTTCTGTTTATATTCGTGTGACCCTACTTGACATTAGTGCAGGTAGTTATCTTGTATTGTTTTATTCAAAACCTAATTTAATTGGGTCCAGGTTGTTTCACTCTTCAGTAAGCTGGCTCATTTAAAATTATCCTTTCTCTAATTAAAAAAACAGTAATAAATTGTAATAAATAAAGAAATTGTAAGTCCAGTTTTCATCCTGCTATGGTTTCCCATTATGTTCTCTGTTTCCGGAGTTTTGTTAGTATATCTGTGAAATGTGGTTTGTTTTTTTTTTTTTTTTTTTTTCCTGGGGATTTACAGATTGATCAAGCTTCAAAAACATAAACAATTTCTTCAAAAATTTTGAGGAGGTGTGGCAAAATTTGACTGATTTTTCAATAATAATTGGTTTCTCTGGAAAAATATCTTGTGCCGTTTGTTTATATATAGTTGTACATTACCTAGTACTTGAAAGTGACACATTTTTTGGTCAGAATATATGGCTAGTTCTTAAAGTTCTGGGGTTTTAAATCTTTGGCTTTTAATCTACTGGTTTTTGAGAAAAAAGAAGCAGCTTTGTATTTTTTTTACTTTCTGTTTTTCTTACATCTATGCTAACGATTATTTACGCTTTCTAGGAAATAGTCTTTGGATTAAGGCAGGAAAACTGCCTACTTCCCCTTTTCCCATCCATGTTTTTCCTTTTGCAACAAGCTGACTATCAAGGCTGCATTGTCATTTGTAATGCCAGTGCTGAAAGCTAAGATACATGGAAATACGTTCCCTACCATGCGATGGGTTAGTGTCATGTTAGGAATTCACTGCGATACACTGTGGAATCTCCTTCCTTTACGGATCTATAGACAGGTGCTTTGGCTTATACATTTACAGCTTTTGTAGGCTGCAGATTGATTGGGGAAGATCCTCCTAACTGTAACCTAACGATGTGGGAGAGCATGTAGTCCATGGAGCATTTTTTGGGAATTGTATAGACATGACTGAACTCCAAACAGTAGCTCATGGAGGAAGCAAACAGATGAGCTGCATGAATTTCTGGCTACCTCCATGTGATTGGTGCTGTTAGCACAGAAAAATTAGCGCAGCGTGGTGGAATGGTGTTGTCTTATAGATCTGGGATGACCAACAGTCACTCCAGAACTTGCCTTTGAAGAAGAAAGCTTTTTCCTAGACTGATTCGAGGTACTTTCTTCACCCTCTGATGCCATAGTACATAAAGGTGCCTGTTCCAGTGCAGAAGAAAGTCGCCATCATTGCACGGAAACTGGATACCAGGGATTGCTTTAGTTCCATGGCAAACTAGTCTGCTGTTGAAACTGAGCTGTCATGCTGATGGTTGTGAACATATATGCTGCTGTTTAGCTACAGGTTGTCAGCATGGATGAGGTGTGTGATGACGCAGTCCTGAGATAACCTGGCATTTAGTTGCTGGAAGAACCTGAAACTGTTTTCACTGCTGCTATTATGGCCAGCAGTGGTACCTGCCATTGTATGCTGTCATATTGGGGCCCTTCTTCTTTTGCGACCTTTGAAGCTGTACCCTTGGGCCACGTAGAAAATGAAGGTGTGTTCTTGCCAACTGTAGAATGGCAGTGAAGTGTGCAATTGGGTAGCTTCATGCAAATTGCTGCTACCTCCTGAATCATTGGGATGGTGCTGGTCTGCCCTAGCCTGCGCGGTGTCTGCAGGTGTGTTATATCAGCTGGGCCCTGGTTTCTGACAGGTTGCAGGGATGATTCACACAACAGGGAAATTCCCCATTGTCATTGTGAACCCAGTTTGAAGAGAGACAAGGGAGAGGGGGATCCCATATGCGCTCAGTCCTGCTGCCTGTGTCATTTTTAATGGGTAATGGAATGCTAGTGCCTGCATGTTGCGGGATGTAACGCAGAGAGGCAGTAGTGATTTCTAGGTACTGCTTGGCTTGTTTTGCGTTTTGTATGTTTTTAAAACTGGACATGTAGGCAAATAATCTGTCAAGGATATTTTGTGTCTGGTGCAGTGTGTATTTTGTTGGCCAAGGCTTGGTTTTCATGCTTAAGTATCAGTGTAAAGGTGACTGAACGCTAAATGTGAGGCTCTAGGATGCCTTTTTATTAGGTTGTGTGGATTTGTTGTTTCCAAAACACTTTTAATTCTTCTTTCTCCTTTTTTCATTGGGAAAGCCAGAAGAAGAAGTATGGAAGTGTCTAAGCTCACAAACGTGTAAGGAAAAGTTTCAGAACCATATATTCGGACCTGAATCATGAAACATATGAGGCCTAGTCCAGGAGAATATAATACAAGCTAAAGCTTTTGAAAAAACAGTAAATGACTGTGTGTTTTTGTGTGTGTGTGTGTTCACCTAGGAGTTTACAAGCATCCTTTTAACAGTTGTGATGCCTGGAGGCTAAGGAATCTTGTTTCCCTGTTTCCTCCTCCATTTTTCTCGTGCATTTGGTGCAGCATTGGATAGTGAAACAGTGTTATTTATCCCTGCAATATAGACAGGTAGAAGTGAATTGCCTATGGTTTTTTTCCCCTGATCAATGATATGTGGAGTAGGTGGAGGAGCAAGGCTTAAAAATTTGACCTAATTACATGTCAGAAATGGGTATTGCGGGAAGTGCGTGTATTTTTGTGCTTATGCTGTAATATCTGTTGCCAGCATATGGCCCATAATATTGCAGAGAAGCATGTTCAAATGTCAGAGCTGGCTTGGATTTCCAGAAGCTTGCCTGGTCTTCCTTTTCATAGTCTTTCCTTCCATAAACCTTTTACAGCCCTTTTCTTTTCTTTGCTTCCATGCAGGTGCATCCTGAGTTGGGTGCCCTGTTTGCATATCGTTTTTCTGTACGATCTCTGGCAGTTCTTGGGTATTCAGGCACCTTGGTGGTATGGCTAACCTTTCGGACCTCAAAGTGCACATGAAGAAGGAAAGTTAATTTGTTGCTTTATAAATGAATGAATTAATGGCTTCATTACTTCTTCCTCACTAGGCCACAGTGTTATATGCCCTTCTGTCTTAGCAAACTGGAGAGATCAGCTAAATGTTTAGCAAGACCGTAATTGATAACATCATGGCATTTTCCTCCCCTGTTAATAGGCACTAAAAATTTATTTTAATTTTTGTAACTTGAAAATGATATCTGCCTGCCAGCAGTATGATGTTTAAGAGGAGAATAATTCAGGGACTTTTAGAAAAGTCTGAGTTTATTTTTTGAAAAAAAAAAATTTTTTTTAAATTTTTAACAAGGACATGAGAATTTTGGATTTCTGTGAATAGTAAGATAGTGATGGTCAGGCCAATGGATGGACTACTTCTATTTGTGCAAAAGAGGTTTTTTTTGTTTGTTTGTTATTTGATTTTTAAGAACTGAACAGTATTAAGGGAGAAGGAAGTCTAGTTAGAGTTGTGTTTGCAAATCTGTCCTAGCGACTTGCCTAACCAAGCTACTGGAATTTCTGCCACATGCTAAGCTTGCAGATTTCTCCTTCTAGAAGTGAGGAAAGATATACGAACTCAATGGAAAGCTGTTGAAGGTATCATTTTGCTTTTAGCTACAGACCTCCTTCTCTTAGTCCTCCTTCTCTGAACAACCACATGAGAAAGGCAAAAATCCTTATTTAGCTTAGACTTTACTTTTGACTGAATCCATAACTGAAATCTGCAGGAAGACTTTGTTGTAAGCAGAGTGATGACAATCAAAGGCATCTATCTAATGAGTACTGAATCTTCTGCTATGAGAATGTTAAATTCAGACCTCAAGAGGCACACTTGCCATAAATATTGCATTATTTAAAAAATAACTATTGAGTATAAGCAAACTGAATATAAACAAAGTGGTGCCCTAAATAGCATGTTTCAGTTACTGCTTCCATTTCTTAATTTTTTTAAATTTAGATTTCTCAGAGGACTAGAGTAAAGGAAAGGAGAAAAAAGTTGATTGCATTTCAGATCTGCTATCTAAAAGGGAAGAACTCCTATGCATGCATTTGGAAAGGACTGTTCCAAAAGCTGGAAAAGGAATTACCATTTTGGAGATACTGACACTTACTATTTTTAGAAAGCAGACATCCTGCATATGGAAAGTATGTGAAACTACATTTAGCATGAAGCCCTGTAAGCCAGAAGATCTTACAGGCTCCTAATTTCAAGACGGAGAGAGTTAAATTATAGATTCTAATACTATCTGTAAATACTTTATCACTCTCTGAAATCTTTCTGTTTGCCTTTGTTCCTTATGCCTTTCTCTGTAACTTCTTTCCTTTCTACTTTCCGAGTCCTCTCTGTTCTTCAGAATGCACTAATTCTTTTTACATGTGCTAATAATATGGGCACATTGCCTTAGGCCTCAAATTTACAACCCAATCATTTCAAGACCCTGTTGAAGGTTTACCCTTTGTTTTAAAAGTTCCCATGGACTCAGTTATGCAAGGTTACTTCAAAACCCTTTTTCTCTGCTACCCTTGAGACTCTTTTTTTCCTAATAGACTATTGGCCCTGCTTCTGTTGTTAACAACATTTTGCTATTTTTAGAGTGAATTAAGTTTATATGTAAGAAAAATATTTAAAGTGGCTCTCAAATCTCATTCAGATCTCTATTTTCTCTATTTTAAATATAGCCCCCATATTTATTTATCTTAAATATCTATGTACTAATTTTGACTTTTTTTTTTTTTAATACTTAGTGCCTGACTCTCCACTCTGTTATACCAGCTTTTCACAGTTCTAAATTCCTGATGCAAAATGGTCTACACAGACCCAGATTTATTTTTCTGTTGTATGCCTGATATGGAGAGAAGGGAAGATGAGGAGGAGATAAGAGCAAAGAACAGTTTATTCTGAAATGAGATTTGACCTAATTGTGGAACAACTTATGCTTGATGATGTTTGTGATCCTTTTTGTTTTTACAAGACTGATAGCATGATACTTTTGCAATTCTGTTCTGTGTTGTTCTGGGACAACTTTAGGGTTTCCCGTTGTTGAATTGCAAAGCCCGATCTTGAGAAAATAAGAGCCAGCAAGAATGTTATCCTCCTTCAGAGAAGTGTTTTCCATCCACATCTCTCTTCCTGGTTCCTCCTAAATATGCTGTTGTATTCCTGCCAAGGCAAAACTCCACCCGCATATCGGGTTCAAAATGAAAGTGAAATCTCTGTAATGTAAATGTGCTTCCTGAAGCTACTTTTAAGGCTCCTGCCATAAAACCCAACTATATCTAATTTTAAGTCTCCAAGTAAATTATTTAAGTCTTCAAAGTTTTTAAACATCAAAAACTGTTTAACTCTCCCTAAAGCACAGTCTTCAGAAAACATTTCTGATATAAACAATATAACTCTGAATGTGACAGTACACAGAAGTCACTGTGGCACTAACTTCACACGGCAGCTTTAAACTGAAAGCCCAAGTCTGTCTGCACACCTATTTAGCTGCAAGCCTTTGCTGATAAATGAAGTCAAGACGATTGCTCGGTCTGATGATCACAAGATGGCCCTGCCTTCAAGCTTGAATGTGACTACTGTGCCTGGCCAAACAGCTACCATGGGTCATGGTTTGCTCCATGGTGATCAGGAGATGGGGTTGGTCTCCAGTCCTATCTGGAAAGGTGTATTCTGCAGGAGCAGCTGGGATTTGTAGACCTCCATTGCTTGTCACCATCAGAGCATGCAGCTGAGCTATAGCTGACCTGTGTCCTGCCATTCTGTATTTGGTGGGCCATTTCTCAGGACTTGCTAGTCTCTCTCTGGCTTGCTGCTACAGTGAGTGTGAATGCGTACTGAGAGCCCTTCTCTCAACTTTAATGGGTTATGGGTCAGGGCTGTAAACTGTCTCATTGTCTTAAAATTTCCTCATGGTCAACATTTTAAGCATATGCGTAATGCTACATTGGACTTTAATCAGAGGTACTTTACTGCACAGACAATTAAAAGCAAAAGTAGCAATGCTATGACTAGTCTGTTGCTATAAAGGTCAGTGAAAGAATTCAATAGCAAAGGATATGTATTTTTTGGGGTGGTGCATACAGGTAATTTTCATCAGCATTGGAACAGCAGGTTCAGAGAGCTAAGACAAAGACAATATAAACAATAAAACCATCACATGCAATATGGATAAGATGCGCTGTGTTCCCCTTCCAGGACAAAGCACAGCATCATTCTGTTTTAACTGTAACGGTCTTTAAAACAATGAATACCAGTACAGAGGTCGTCTGAGACTAGCTCTGTAGAACTGTATTGCCATAAAAGGGATCATCCATGTCACAGAGAAGCAGTCTCAGAAATAATCCAAGAGACTAAATTTGAATACCTGCCTCATTTTTATCTTGACAAAATGCTTTTACCTTTTGAACCTGGTGTTTGTTTATTCTGTCCGTGTGCTCCGATCTTCTTGGGTTTTGATAAACCTCCAACATGGGAGAGTGAGAAACTAATGTGTTTCACTTCATCTTCTCCCTGAGGTCACAAGTGAGGGAACAATAAAATTTCTAGGCAGAAATGAATTTCATTAAAAGCGGACCTAGTTAACCTATTGCAAGTTATTATTTCTAATATCCGCCTTGATGCAATTCCATGAATTTTACATCTGTGTGCTGGTTGATACAGGGGTGGAGGATTGAGCAAATATAAAATATTAGTAGTATATCATTAGTACTTAGTTAAGACAAATAAAACTTACTGTGGGGGAAGGGATTAGAATAGCAAATAGAACAGTGCCCTGGATTTTCTCATGTAATTGTGTTATTTGGTATTTATGTGCCCTGGGTAAGAGTTCATAAAAAGGTGGAAGGACAAAGAATTTGTGTCTATGTGCAAGTAAGATTACTAGCAAAAGTATTTGTATGGTGACTGCTTTTCCATTCATTGATGTGTTAGCCAGTTTTTTGCCCTCTCAGGAGTGGAAAAAAGATTTACTTTTCTATTAGATTTCCAGAAAGATGACAAAGTTATATTGAAAATTGCAGTTTTTCCTGTTTTATCTACTGTAGAAGTTTTCCCCTTTTGTTGACAAACATAAGCAATGGATGCTCGATTTGCACCTAAATTCTGTTCATCAGTACTTAAAGTAGTTTTGCTGTTGTGCCTGATGCTTATTGTTAATTAATGCTTTTCTCTACTGTGGGGGGAAAAAAACACACTTAATGGCATTTTCTTTCATTTGCAACTGCATTTCGTTTGCCTGAGCAAAACGTGACTGATGATGCCTATCTTCACTTGAATGCTGCACTGTGATCTACAGAAATTGCAAAACTGATTTACTTTTGCTTTTTTAGTTTGTCTTTAATATCCACCAAAACATGCCAGAGCACATAAAATCAGATTTAGGGTTCGGACCGAAGAGCTCAAAAGGAGCACACAGGTGCTGCTTGCCCAACATGCAGTATATATAAATCAGGCTTGTTTTAAGTGATACTTTTATAAACCAGAACCTTTGAAAAGTAGAATTGTCTTTAAAACAACCACATGGCTCTACATAATAAACTGTGGTAGGGCTCAGTACTTTTATTAGCTAATTAAACATTTGCTGTGTTGAGAGAAATGCTTTTGGAACACACGCCTGAATTTATAACAAAATTCATTCTGTATTTCTGCCATGTGGAAAGGAGGCACATCTGGGAGAGTGGGTGGGAGAATGTGAAGAGAAGCTTTTCCAATTGCTTGAAAAGGAGTTTGAAGTTTATTTTTTGAGTGAAGTGGTTAGTTTAGGTGGGGATTCAGCAAGTTCTGAGCTAGACAGGTTTTTCCATTGGTTTACTGAACCTGAAAGAGACACTGATTTATAGGAAGCATGTCTTGCAAGTTCCAGTTCTTGGCTTTCCCTAGATAGAAGTTTCATAACATGCACTTCTTACTAAATAAGACCACCATCTGCAAACATCCCCCATTGGAATTCCTTAGGCATCGTACAGAAGAATGTACTTTTGTGTACATCTTTCTTTAAAATAAAAGTTTTATGTCCAGAAGCATCACCTAATCATTTTGCTGAAAAACTCCTTGTTCTTTGTAAAATTCATGAAATAGAAAACGAAATCTGAATAAACAATAACCTGCTGAGCCACTTATGCTCACTGTTGTAAACGAAGCTCTAACTTTGTTTTTTATCTCCAACAGACAAACAACAGAAAGGTGAATTTGCCTTAGAGGGCTACACCATCAGAATGAATAATAGCCTTCGGAAGGATGCAAAGAAAGATTGCTGTTTTGAAATCTCTGCTCCTGATAAGCGCATTTATCAGGTTGGACTTTTTTTTATGTTGACTTGAAATTAAATTGATAAAGCCGTTACAATTCCAGTTACTGAATTAACATTTCAGTAAAACAACTTTCACTGACATCTTAATGAAAAAAGGAAACCCTTGCTTGCTTATATTGTATATCATATATTAGGAAAAAATCTGATTTAAAATATGTATGTATGTGTTCAAATATTATCTTTTTGTACAAGAGCAAGGAAATCTATCATCTTTATCTATTGGTCACTTCAATGTTAGCATTTTAATATCTATTGTATAGTATGTCTGCATGATTTCTTGGATGGATTAAATAGTAAAAAAAAAAAGTTAAAATATGTATCAGTTTAAAGTACATATTTTATTGGTCATGGCTTTGCAAGGAAAATCTACGTAAAGGCACATATCAGCTGTGCAATTCAGAGATCTATCAGCTAGACATCAATATGGAATGTAAGTTTAATAAGTTTTAAATATCTGAGATTGCAGTTGAAAGCCAGTTAATTAAGCTGTCAGGTAGTGTGTTGGAGTCTGACAAGAACATTTTTAAGAAAACTGTACCCAGCAGTCTAAAGAAATTCATGGGTGTCTTCTAATTGTCAAGGGCAAATTTTGTTCATCAGTTCTGGCTTTGACATTGATGAAGAGAAGCAGCTTTTTTCTGCACAGCTGCCAGCTGCTGATCAGAGTTTCAAATCCATCATCCTCTCCTTCAATTACGTAAATTTGTCAAAATTAGCTGTACATTATAAGAAGCATCCTTGCAAGAAAAGTACCAGAAGACATGAAAAGAATTACTAATGGTTTCTTGAGGAAGTGACGAGAATGCTACAGTCCCTCTTTTTTATTGCTAATGAAATTGTAGTTGTGTTTTTATCATTACTGCTTGTAGTTATTAATAAACGTTTAATAGTTCACAGCTGCCACTCCCAAAGAAGCAGAGGAATGGGTACAGCAAGTCAAATTTGTAATTCAAGGTAAGCCAGCCAGTAGAACCTTTATTGCCAGTACTGCTAAGTGATGGTAGTACTGTCCATTAACATACCTGTCATGTTTGTGTATCTAGTATTCCCACTTGTCCAAGTTTTGAATAGTAAGTCCTAGTTCTCAATCCTGTTGTATCTTTTACGTGACTCTGCCTTTTGCAAGATTTTTGTTTTTTCCAAGTATACTATTTAGCGTGAAAGCTCTTTCTTATGAACACTGGAAGAAAATAATCAGAATATACTGTAAGCACCAGCTTATAGAAGATGAATTGTGTTTTCATTTTGCATAAATTTCTGCTTAGGAATTCTTTTCTAGAAAATGTTAACCTTTTAAACTGCTGTTACATAGATATGGAATCTAATACTATTCCTGAGGAGGAGGAGGAGGAAGAGGAATATGACGATGTTGGACAAGTGAGCAGTGAACCAATAGATGATAGCATTTATGAAGAAGTTAAAGGTATTGTTGAGATTTTTTACTTTGTGACCTGTGATTGTTTTGTCTTCTCTAATTCTAGTTTGATAACTCTGAGTGGCTAAAAGTAAGTGAGTAAAGTAACTCACTTGAATAAGATACTTTGATTTCAAGTTTTGCTATGACATTTTAAAAAAGAATGTGTCTTCAACCAGGTCTGAGTGAGAACAGTTCGGTTTTCTTTAGCAGGGACATCAAAATAGTGCAGAATGTGTAAAAGTGGTCTCAGGGGACTTTTGGCTCATTAACGTTCTCTGGTACACATTTTTTTTAATTAAAAAACTGACTTGCCTTACAGCTTTTTCCACCAACTTGCCCATCATTTTTTTCTTTATTCATTTTGACATTTGTATTAAGCAAAAGTTCGCTATCACTCCGTATGTTATCAGCTGCTGCCTAATATCTTGCAGGATATTTTAATCCTGCAAGAAAGTAATGTGTTGGGTTGAAAGGGCTCTGAAGATGAACTGTAAATAAAGGCAACATGAATCGTGACATTGGTTTTCTTCATATCTTCCAGCATGACTGTGATTACACAGAGACTTTTTACTGTGGACTTTCTGATGTGGTCAAACAATTATGCCTCTAGATGTCCCAAGTGTATCTATTAGATGGAGAAACAAAAGAAAAAGAACTTGACAAAAGGTCGTGGACTTGCTTATAGACATTCAATTATTAGGAGAAAGGTGGTCGTTCTTGATTTTGGGCCCCTCACTACAGGAAAGACATTGAGGTGTTGTAGTGTGTCCAGAGAAGAGCAACGAAGCTGGTGAAGGGTCTAGAGCATGAGTCTTATGAGGAGCAGCTGAGGGAACTGGAGCTGTTTAGTCCGGAGAAAAGGAGGCTGAGGGGAGACCTTATTGCTCTTTACAACAACCTCAAAGGAGGTTGTAGCCAGGTGGGGGTCGGTCTCTTCTCCCAAGTAACAGGCAATAGGATGAGAGGAAATGGCCTCAAGTTGTGCCAGGGAAGGTTTAGATTGGATATTAGGAAGAATTTCTTCACCAAAAGTGTTGTCAAGCCCTGGAACGGCTGCCCAGGGAAGTGGTTGAGTCACCATCCCTGGAGATATTTAAAAGACGTGTAGATGTGGTGCTTAGGGACATGGTGTAGCGGTGGACTTGGCAGTGTTAGGTTAGCTGTTAGACTTGATCTTAAAGGTCTTTTCCAACTAAAATGATTCTATGATTATATTTTAAAAAAATATGAAAAAATATTTTTTTTCAGTTACCATTAGTTAACCAATGATATTTTAAAGCGATATGATAATTAATAATCACTTTGAAATAATGTTCTGCATCCCTTGCTGTTTGGGGCAGTTCAATTATCAGCAATAACTTGAGAGGAAAAATTAGTCGTGTCATGTGTTGCTAACTTTATGTATCTGTAGGGTGAATATTCTGACCATTGGAGAAAAGTACATTTTATAGTATGCCTTGGTTTTTATGTTGTCATTTCAGTGAACCAAAGGAGCAGAGAACGAGTAACTGGTGAAAATTATTATCTAAAATTGTAAAATTGTAGCGGCATTCAATTCTTTAAGAGCTAGTTTTTTTGGATCCATTTCTTTGAATCGTACCTAGACTACTTCAGCGCAGAATACATGTTCTGCTGAAATGGGGTACAGTGTGTCATGCATGCAGTGAATATATAAAAACTACATTACAGGGCTTAATCTTATAGCTAGAGGATACAGCCAGACCTTGTTGCGTTGCTTTTTGGATGCTCAGGCTCTTACAGAAAGTGATCTTGTATGCTTGCCTATGCTTTTGTTAAAGAAGCTCTAGATGTATCCTGGGATAAATTACTCTTTTTCTGAGCTTCACTTATCTTACCTGCTCATTTGAATCTTAAACAGTAAGTAGATCTGGAGCAGTAACACATACAATATTGGTAGAGGGCCAAGAGTTAATATATGCTTTGAGTTCTGTCTTCAGAGAATTGCTGCCTTGGTATGATTCTGCAAGAACTTAGAGTATTTTCACTTCTATCCCATTTTTATGTCAGTTTTCCAGGAATTGTTGTCTCCTAATGTGGCTAATAAATCTGAAATGTAACAGAACAGCTGTCACCACAAAGGGATAGCTCTTCTGTTATTCAAGAAATCTAGTTTCAGTTTTTAGTTAAATGAATTTCTTTTACCATCATCTTAGAGTGGTTCCTCATTTTTATGTTATCAAGTAGGGATTACCTTTCTTTATCTCATGCTTTCTCCATCTCTTTTATTTGAATTTTAGGAAGGACCATCTTACCTTGTACAGTGGAGCTTTTAACTTTGGATGTGATTTGTTGGCATAACTGAGTAAAAATAAAGCATAAGTTTGCAATAGATTTTTGGTGATTTAAAGCATCTTTTTCTCTTCCATAAACATGCTTTAATAGTAATTTGCTTAAACAGAATTAAAAACTTACGGCTCTGATGCCTTAGAGCAGTGCTAGTTGACAAACCTCAAAGGAGTAAGCCTGATTTGGTTCTTGTATAGCTGTTCATCTAAACCTGATAGTAAAAGAGCATGCACCATTTTGGTCTCACCTGTCTGAATTAGGCCTGATTGGTTGCATTTAATTCCAGTTGGCTGTCTTTTGTATTTTCCCAGGTAAGTGAATTACTCTTTTTTTCCTGCCATGGTCAAAGGGTGGAGCATCATTATCCCTGCTGTTACCTGACTTAATAATACAGAGGAAATAAGGAATTCTGAACTCCTGTGAAGTGAACAGAAAAAAAAAAAAAATTTGTACAGCCCAAAAGCTATGCTAAGCTCTGGAATGCAGAAGACAAATATGCTAGATCCCTGTGAAGAGGGAGAAGAAATTAATCTTCACTTTGTTTTTATCCTCAAAACATCTTCATGTTAGAGGTTTCTGATCCTCTGTTTCTGCAGATCCACTAGCTTTATAAATATTGAATTTCAGGTACACAGCTCATTGTACTTTGTTATTGTTTATTTGGCTATAATTTGCAATTTCTCAAGTAAGTAAAATTTTGCATTTCTGTGGTTCTCCAGTGGTTTTTGTATTGGCATTTCAGAAGCAAATTAAGCCAGTTCATGATGCAGTCATGGGTTTGGTATTTGAATAAAGAGTGTTTGGATTAAAAAGAGGATATGGAAATTTTTGCATAGTTTTGAAAACTGGGAATTTTGGAGAACTGTTGCAGTAATCAGAACTGACTGATGCTGTATTCTCTAGCTATCACATTGCTTAGCTGCTTTTTTTTTTTTTTTTTTTTCCCCCTGCTTGTGGCAGGAGACAGTGTAGATGGATTTTCCAGACAGGAACTGAATAGCTTCAAACCAGTACCCAGAATGGTAACAGTCTATTAGCCTATTAAAATCATAGATTTCAGTGGAATTTAATTTGTACTGTCTGCTGGCAGGAGGAGTGGGTTGATAGTTGGAGGGTGTACAGAGAGAGGTGAGAAAATTAATCTTTTGATCTGTTAAGTTTGATCTGTCTTCTTTAATAGCACTTACAAATTCATATTTACCATAGAAGCATCATTTTCCTGGTTCTCAGTATTAGTCAGTGTTTTACTGTGGTTATTCAGGTAGTCAAAAACATCAGAACTGCCAAAGATTTCCCAACTTGTAAAACCTTCTTTGCAAGATTCTTCAGGAGAAGAAAGCTTTATACTGTCTTCAACAAACTAAGCTTTTGTCTTTTCCTCCATGTTTTTATTAAAAACCAAAAACTTGGTTAAGCAAAATTAAAAATATTGTCAATAAAGGCCCATTTTTGATTAATTAGCTATTTATTTTTTACCTTAGTACCCTCTATGTAGTTTTGCAGTCCACAGCTGGATATTATAAGCTGTACCATAAAATAACTTCTCAAACTGTAGTATTAAATAACTGTGTGTGTATGTGTAGCTACCTAGATCCATAGAGTTTCTGGCTTAGTGGTGTTTTAAACAATGGAGTTGTCCTTGTCAGAAGAGAGAACACTTACCAGCTGTAAAGATGTTGTCATCTGTTACAGCCCTTGAAGATGAAAGTTTTTTATTAACTTGGGGTTTCAGTGACATAATTTTCAAGGGCCTTCAGTATTGTCTTTTGTCACATCTGTATGGAGTACATACCCAAAACTGCAATGCTAACTACTGCCTGTCACCTTCATCCTTTCTACAACCTGAACTTGGTCTGTGTACTGTCTACAACACTTGCACAATACGAAAAAAGAGGTGTTAATCTAAGCTAACATAATTTTCAATCTTGTGTTGTCTTTTTTCTTCTGTCTCTTTCTGCTCACAAAGTTGCATTATAGCAGTAGTTTCCATGGTGTACAGTATAGTTTCCATTAAAATGATTCTAAAGATCAAGTTTGATTCTTACTTTGGTGGTGCTTAGTTGGTGCAGATAAAAAGCTGCCTTTATAGAATAGGTAAGGTTGGAAATCCTGAAGCAATGTGATGTGATACAAGGCTGGCATCGTTGGCTTTGTGCTGTCTTTTCTCAGCCTGTCCATGACACAGAGAACTGCTGGGTGAGAGACGGGTAAAGGCGGTGAAATTCATTGCTATGTTGATCTCCCTCTAGTGAGGGGAATTGCTGTGGAGAACTAACCCAGCCAATACAACTTGCATCAGTTCTTAGCTTGCTGTAAATTATATTTGAGGATTGATTCAATTTCTGATTGGGCCAAGGATCATGGGAATGGAAAGCTTGCTTTTGTTTTTTTGATTCCCGCTATCGGTCCTCTGCCAAACAGTTTGGTCAAGCACAGATATCTGACCAATAACTCTGTTTTGCAGTGTAGTTGGAAGCTTAGCTAGGGAAAATCTGTAACTAAGGCAAAGCTCAGAGAAAGGTAAGTGTCTTAAGTTTTATGCAATAGGAAGCGTGCTACACAATGAAACACTTTAATTTGTTTACTTATTTTACACGAAGTCTTTTAAATAGTTTTAGAATTATATGGATGTTGTTTCAGAATTAATTTCTGACATTGACTATGAAGGTAGGGAATGATCTTCCCGTGTCTTTCTTATG